AATGAAACAAAGCTTAAATGAGAATGGGTACAGAGAAGAAATGAAAGTTAAATATTAAGTAAGAGAAATACTACAAAGCCGGGAGGCTGCAGCTTAAGTGCAGGCCTCTCACAGTGGATCACTGAACATGCCCCATAGATCCGGCTTCAATCTCAATGTGAGACCTCGGGCTGAGGAGTTTCTGGGATGGTTCAGAAGGGGAGGAAGAGGAGCTTCTTCACTGTTACAAGTCTGTTCCTGTTGGGAGCCTGCTGAAATTATAAATTGAGTTTAAGTTAGAGGCCAGCCTAGGCTTCAGAGTGAGTTTAAAGCTAGCCTAAACTACACAGTGAGACCTTGTCTCAAAAAACAAACAAACAAACAAAGAATTCTTAACATTTGCAAGTTCTGCCAGGTGTGGTGGCACATTCCTATAACCCGTCCCCGGGGAAGGTGAGGCAGGAGGATCACCGTGAGTTTGGGAGGCCAGCCTGAGCCACATTAGTGAATTCAAGGCCAGCCTGCACTACCTAGCAAGACCTGGTCTAAAAACAAAACAAAAACTCTGGAATATCTTCGTATGTTCTAGACACAATATTAAGCACTGCTCATATTATTCCAGTTTATCCTCCCCCAACCTTAACAAATTAAGAAAAGAGACAAGGCAAATTAACAAAAGAGATAAGGGTGCTAAACAGCTCACTCAAGTGACTCAGCTCTTGAACTACAGTCTCAGTTTCTTTCAAAATTAGTGCATTATTAACCTTACTAAATTCTACAATCATCCCAATTAGAGCATACTTTCATTTGTATATTTATGGACTTACACTATTTTAATAAAAAAGGTTGCACCTAATCCAAAGTGTTCTGTAGCAAGAAAAATATGTAAACTGTAATTCAGAAATTTTTATAACAATATGGATTATTACAAATTATATAATTATATGGAGTAATTTTCTCTGTTGACTCTAGTAATAGTTAATGTATTTATTTTTTGTTTTCAACATCATTTCATTTTTACAAATCTATTACCCAGGACTGGAACAGAAATTCAAAAGGAAAGGGGCTGGGAGATCGTTCAGTGGCATAAGCACTTGCCTTTGGGAGTTCATACCTCCCGGTAAGTGTAAGGTCCAAGTTCTAGCCCCAGTACTGCAAAAAAAAGAAAAAAATGTTTGGGCCAGGGAGATAGCTCAGTAGAATAAGTGCTTCCCTGGCAAGCGCAAGGGCCTGAGTTCAATCCCCAGTTCTGCAAAAAAAAAAAAAAAAAGAAAGAAAGAAAAAGAAAAGAAAAGAAAAGAAAAAGACATTCAAAAGAAAAATAATGCTCTGGTAGTCAACCTAAAATCCCACTGTGGCCATTTGTTAGTCTCTAACTTCATTTATTAATCAGAGAAGCTGCTAAGCTGAGGTTATACTAGGGAATGTACTTTCTCAATTTACGTGTTAGGTAGCACTGTAATTAAGAGGCCCCCCCAAAAAACCTGTTTGTAGAACTGAACCCAAAAACCATAATATATACGCAAGTGTTCAACTCTGCTACTTGACAGGACCTCATTTGTAGAAGGTGTGCTTCTGCTGCCTTTTCCAAGTTTTAGTTTTTTCTTCTCATGCGCTAAAAGAAATAGCATCTTAATTAGTTATTTATAATTACATTTGAAAAACCAAACACAAGGAGAGGCTTGCTTTCCTTGTTCTTATAAACCATTTAGACATAAAGATACAGTTGTTAGGGCAAGTGGCAAGGAAGAAAGTCATGAAAGTATTATTTTGGGAGTGAGGAGCATCACGGACACCTCTTGGTGGTCTGGTAAGGGAAGTGGATTCTGCTATAGCAATTTCAGACTACTTGATTTTAACTCAATTCTAAATACTAATGCTGACATAATTAATAATTTAATTGCCAGGCATGGTGGCGCACACCTGTAATCCCAGCACTCAGGAAGCTGAGGCAGAAAGATCACTCAGAATTTAAGGCCAGCCTAACTGCAGAATGAGAGCCCATCTCAAAAAAAAAAAAAAAAAAAAAAAAAAAATTAATAGTTTGATTGGTCATCTGACTGATGCTACGAGAAATTCTGAAAAGTATTGAATGACAAGTAATAGCAATAAATACAAAGCATATCTATCTCTCATACAAATGAGAGTGAACTGTAAAAGTAAGGCTTGTCTGGTCCCTTACTTATTTGGTACAGGGTCTCACTACACAGCTTGGACTTGTGGTGATCCTACCGTCTCAGCCTTCCCACCACTGGGATTACAGATGTCTGCCACCACACCTGGTTTCAATGGCTGGCACCAGGTACCTAACAGAACAGAGGATCAAACCAGGTCCTTGTATTTGCCAGGCAGGAACACAGACCCCTGAGCTATCTCCCCAGCTGTCTAGTCCTCTTGTTTACAACACTAGTCCCTAGGGAAAAGCTAAGTTCCCTTAAAAATGGATGTCATTTAGTCAATGTAGAAGGTGGGGGAGCTATTCCTAAAAGGCAGAAATTGTGCTTCCCAAGTCCCTCTTACATGAAGTTATTTTAAAAATTAATAATCTTACTAGTTTCACAATATAGTACATCAGTCTGTAATAGCATATTTTGCCTAGAAAAAAAAATGTTTAGATCCTAGCAGGATCCAGTTGAATTCTAAAATGTTTTTGACTAAGTTTTATATATAACATTCATTCTGTTCTAATGCCTCAAAAGGCATTGCTCTTGCTATGATAAACAGGCATTATAAATGCCAATTTGCTGCATTTTAAGACAGTTGGAAAAGGCCACTTACGTATCAACTTAGCAAGCCACAAATGACATGGTATACTGTTATCTTTATTAATGGCCTGGTTAATTTTTTTTTTTTTAATGTATTTGGTTATTACGGGTCTCACTATGCAGCTTAGACTCATGGTGATCCTCATGTTTTAAGCCTCCCCAGCACTGGGCACTGGGATTACAGGCATACTCCACTGAGCTATCTCACCGCCCCACTGGCCTGATTAATAACACCATTCATATAGGTATTTCCTACTAATGAAAACAAAAATAGCGAGTACCTGCATTTCTCAATACTCATTTAGTACTTATTCTAGAAAGTTTAAGAAAATACTGAAATTGGCAAAGTTCTAAGCATTTAAAAAATGTTATCAGTATTTTTTGCGATCCATGATAAACATATCCATCATGGTTATGCATTTCACAGAAATGAGAAGTTTCAGCTGAGTGTGGTGGTGTAGGCCTGCAGGTCCAGCTACTCAGGAGGCTGAGGTAGCCCAGGATTTCAAACCATACTGAGATCCCACTAATAAAAAACTGTACAGGTTGTTTATTTGAATTAATTGTAATTCTTCATAAATATTACTACAGTAAATCTTTAAACATACAAACCACTCCAGGCCTAACAATGTCAAGCTAACTTTAATGTAGTCACAATAAGGAAAAGCTGCTTATGTTAGAGGACAAGACAGCAGGCTCACAAAGTACAAAGTAGGCAGGGAACTCAGAATAGGGAAGCGTGCTTCACAAGCTAGGCAGTACTGGGACACTCCGCTGCTACTCCTACTTGGCTCTACCCAACTGCCACTTGGAAGCCAAAAGAACAACAAACCAATTATTCGACTAATCTAGCAAAGGAAGTCTGCGGCCGGGCTTTGTAGACAGGCTGTGTAGACAGGCTGCCTCGTCCATCTGCTCAACACTTTTACAGCAGCAGACAAAGCAACAAGTAACAGTTCTGAGTCAGAAGAACTAGACTTAAACAACTCTGATTCTAACACTCTTCGTGAATTTGCCCAAATTACATGAGTCTTCAGATTCTTCATCTGCACCTCAGTGAGTTTCTAAGCAAAAAAAGTTTAACATACATAGTTTTTTTAATTGTAGTATTAGATATGAGCGCTACAGCTAAGAAAGGAAACCAACGGGGCAGCAACCCAAGCCTCCCAGCTCAATCCTCTCAGCTAGCAGTAGCTGCCCAGTTTGGGTCAAGCTTATAATGCCTTTTCCTTTGAGTACTTTCAAGACTGGCAATGAGACAGGGCCTATGCGCCTCCTGATCTCTAGTATAAATTCATGAAAACATCTTTCCTCTGAATATAGTAGTCCCCCCATTCCAAGGCTTTGGACACTGCACTTTGTGGCAATCAAAGGATTTATCTACATTTTCAATGAACAACACTTTCATCTTGTCACTCTCTAGTAATGACAAGGAATCAAATTAAAATGTCAATACATGTTAACCAAAGATTTCTAAACAAAAAGACTTGAAAACAACCTCAGAATACCCACTCCAATGCTTTTGTTCTTTAAAAGGAAAAAAGTACAGAACAACCCAATTTAGCTAGGTGAGGAGGCACACACTGATAATCCTACCTACAATCTGGGTGGGTGAGGCAGGGCGATCTCAAATTGGTAGGCAATTTAACAATTTAACAAGTTTTTTAAAAAATAAGAAAATGGATATAGATCAGTGTGAAGAGCAAACTAACTTATGTGGGTAAAACTTCCAGTCTATGTGTGTTAAGCTGCAGCCGTTATACTACTGACTGTAGAAAGGTACCCCAAAAGGAACAAACTTTGTACCCCAAAAGGAACAAACTTTGCTCTCCTTAAAAATATTTGATTACCACAAAAAAAATTATCGTATTGATTTCAGCTCATTTCAACATATTCCCCATTTGTTTCTTGATAACAAATCTCAGTACCTTCAGTTCTTGAAACCTCTGGGAATCAACAGAAATGTTATAGTGTCCCTCTCCAGTAACCATGCTTTTTTTTTTTTTTTAAATCCAATTTCAGGGAATCCAGAATACCGCAGGTCTTCAGTGGAGCACCCAACCCAGGTCAAGATTTCTAGAGCTAAATAGGAGTCTTATCTCTATACTTGAGTCTTTGGATCTTTTTTTTAAAGAAAAGACAGTCCTGCTTACTGAGACTTTAGCTCTGAGGTTAGGTAAGCAACTTCCCCTTTGCAACTGTCACTACTTTCTAGCAGCCTTCCTGACAGCTGACAGAAATGCGACAAGTTCTTACCTCCGAGAAATTAACGGCCAGGGGAATGATTCCAGCCACGTAACACCCCACTAACATAGCCAGCGAGAGCAGACTGATGGAGACGAAATCATCCATTCTGCTCGCCTCTATTCACCCACCAACACTTCAACACTCCAGCCGCTTCCAGGGGGTTTAGGTTCTTTAAACGTGCAGTGGTTCCCCGAGAGCAACCGGACTGTCAGTTCTGTGGGCCTCCTCCCCAGGTGTGTTCACCAGGCACTGCGAATGGACGTGGACACGATCCCGTTTTGCTGACGTTAGCACCGGAGAAAACTTTGAGCACGCTTGGACCCCACGCTCCGGGTTCTTACATGCCGGTCCCTGGATGCTCGTGGGTTAACAGCTGGGCAGTGTTCGAGAGCGCAATTTCGTCAATCTTCGGAAGAAGGGTGGCACCACGGCCCAATCCCCCCGCCCACACACACACACAGCGTCTCGGGTAGCCGCGGGCGGAGGAGGAAACCCCAAGCTAGTCTCTCCGCACAGCCCAGCGCCCCTGTTTCTCTCGGAGGACCCCGCGGGGGACCCACTCCCCGAAGCTGGGACCAGCCCGCCGAGGGTCGACTGGGGAAAGAAGTCCTGCAGGTCTCTAACGAGGATGAGAGATTCACCAGCTAAGCTGACCAAAGGCTGTCCCTGCCCTAGACCCGATGCTGCCCATGGTGCTCCACCTCGCCGGCCCTCGACCCGCAGCCGCCAGTACTACGGCTGCCATGGCCGCCAAGTGGCACCTCTTCAGTACACTCACTTCCGGGTCGTCGGACCGCCCCCTCCTCAGAAGGTCACTTCCGGGTCACAACCGACCTATGGCCCGCGAAACTCGTCCTGCCGCCATTTTTGACCAGGGCCAATGAAAGTGGCTTGAGGGGGCCCACGCTAAACGGCTGCTCACTCTGGCCCGGGCCTAAGAACGGCAATACACAAGACAGAGTCCTGAAAGAAAATCTTTTTCTAAAGCGCCGCCAGCTTTCGCTTGCGCGAGTCACCGCCCTTAGCCAAGATGGCTGAACCAGAGCCCGCGTCTGCTCTAGCTGCCGGAAGTTCGCTCACTTCTATGGTCTTTTGGACGAGTTCCGGTGGCTTCGCTGGAAGAGATTGGCTGTTGGCGGCGTTGCCCCTGACCTCGTGTGTGACTTGTGGAGTCGGCGTTTGCAGCTGCGGAGGGTTTGGCGAGATGGTGAGCGAGGCCTCCGCAGCTCCCGGATCCCCGCGCCCCCGGGCGCCCCTTTCCCCTACACCTTCGGCTCCCGCCCTCGGCCGCCTATGCGTTTCCCGCGCGCGCCGAGAGGTCGGCCTGGCTGTAGGCCCCGCGCCCGCCCGCCGCCCGCATCACGGGCTCGGTAGAGCGAGGCAGGAGTGGCGCCTTCGCCCTCCACGGGCGCCGGCGTGCTGTGGGGACAGCGGCCTGCGCAGCCGGCGAACCTCGCCCCGGCGCGGGGTCGCGGCCTGCTGTGCCCCGGGGAGGCCAGGCGGGGTCGCGTCGGCCTTATGGCGTCTCCTCTGCCCGAGAAAGTACTTTGTCTTTCCGGAAGCCCCTCGGCGGCGCCGCGTCCGCGCTCGCACCGCCGCAGTCCCGGGCTCGGGCCCTCGCGCGGCAGCGTCCGGACCTCAGAGCCCGCCGGGCGACGGGGGGCGGCTCGGCGCCTGGCGGCATCGTTAGGTGTGCAAGTCTGCGAAAGAGAGGCGCTTAGGAGTGCGCGGGGGGAGTCGGGGTCACCCCGCGCGGGTCCTGTGAGAGGGGAACCTTTTCCGGCCTGCCTTTCCCAGTCGCGAGATAGCGGCGCTTGGGTCCGCGGAGGCTCCGCAGCAGAACCGCGAATCGGCTGGGTTTCCGGCCCTGTTTCGCGGCCCCTAGCGGTGTGGCCCAGGCCAAGTCGCTCCACGCCCAGTGGCCCCCTTTCTCGGCCTTTGCTTTGGTATTGTGTTAGAATGTTTGAAATACGAGAAAATAACAGCAGCTGGTATCAGTCCATTCTCATTGGACGATGAGTGCTACGAAGCTTTCTGTGTTTGCAGGCAGCAATTTATAAGCGTTTTTATCTGTTTATCTTATTCAAAGTTCGGGGAAAACACTTGGAACTACTGTAGTAGGGTGGTGAGCTTTAGTGTTCATTTTTATGATGCTTTCAAAGAAAAACTTCGGAAAGAATGACTGATCATCAGACAGAGTAAGGCTTCATTAAGGAAATGCTGTGTACCGTTCCTGGTTTGAGTTTTAGTCTTTTGAGCCTTGTAAACAGAAAGAAGTAAACAGAAAGAAGTAGTACATCTGTGTACACTGTTGGTCCGGTCATTCCCTGAGAAAAGACTAAGAAAGGCGAGGACTGAGTTTGTTCAGGAGGAAATAACTGATAGGAGAAATACGTGTGGATTCTTCATAAGACTCAAGGATTCTGCAAAAATTAGAAGGGATCAAATTTGTTTGAGAGGTTTAGAATCTGTAACATATTTTTAACGGATGTGCACTGCCACTTGATAAGCTTTTTCACTAGTTTGTCAAATTTAATCCTATTCCATTATATAGGGTTTCTTTTTCTATTTCTGTTCTTTTGTGTGTGGGTGTAGGGGTGTGTCGTACTGGGAGTCAAACTCAGGACCTCACACTTGGCAGGTAGGTGCTGTGCCGCTGAGCTATAATCCCAGTCCTGTAATAGGTTTTGGTTGGTTTTGTTTTGTTTTTCTTTCTTTCTTTCTTTCTTTCTTTCTTTTTTTTTCTTTTTTTTTTGTATTTGGTATAGGGACTCACTATGCAGCTGGTAATGAGCCTCCTGTTTGTAGTCTCCCTAGCTCTGGGATTACAGGCATACCTCACCACTCAAGGACTCCCTTTGCTGGCTCAGTATGCCCTGGGGGTGGTGCCTGGGGAATGCATGCGGGTCGTGGAAATCCAACCCTTGTCCCTGTGCTTGCCTAAGCAGGTGTCTAGTTTGTTCAACTATTTTATCAGCCCTTAATAGTTTTTAATCTAGTTTTGTCTGAGGGCAATAAATATCAAAATTACTGAATTTTGCCTAAAGATTTTTAAAGACTACATAAAAAGGAATATACAATATAACTTATTTTGTTTTTTCAAATGAATTACTGCTTTTGTTTGTATTAGAGTAAACAAAATGAGTATAGTAGCTAGTATACAAGGCAAGCTCTGTTGCAGCAATGCCAGTGTGGTTTCTGTAAGATTTTATTCTTAACAAATAACATGTTGAACCTGCCTGTTTTGAATAGCTGGCTTATTAAAAATTGTGGGCTGTATAGCAAGCAAATCTAATAAATTGCATTCTCTGGCTGCTATTCACTATTTAACAAAATACATTGTACAGGTCACTATAGGTGAAAAATAGTTTTTTTCTTGTCACTTAAGTTCTGGTTTTAACTCAGAACCCTCTCAGCCTTTTAATCAGAATGTCTTAAGTTCTTAGTGGGGAGGGAGGAGTAGTATGATCTTTTGAATTGTATATTGCATTGAGAATACCGGTTCTCTGTTTATTCATTAAGTCTAAATAAATGTCAGCCATTTCAGTTCCAGTTTGTTGATAGTTAAAAATTCTAGCTGCCCCCCACAGTCCATCATGAGATATTTTTTTAAGGTTTGGTGTGTGTACTCAGCTCCAACTGGTAGTGATCCTTCTGGTTTCTGCCTTTCTAGTGCTGGGATTACAGGAGTGCCCTACTATGCATAGACTGCATAGCTCAGCTCGCCCAGGGCCGGGGGCCGGCATGGCAGGCTGTGTCAGGGATCAAACCCTGGTCCCTGGTTTACCTAAGCAAGCGCTTAGTCCCCTGAGCTATATCGCTGGCTCTTACGAGATTTTTTTTTTTAGCCAAAAAAAAAAAAAAAAGTATTACAAGAGAAAATTTGTAAGTAGTCTTGGAATTGAGTTTATAATGAGTTGCATGAAACTAGGATTTAATTAATGAACCTTACATGTTTGGCCAAAAGAATCAGATGGAGATAGAATTTTAATAGGCCAGTGATTCTCTGCTGATTCCATGTACCCCAGAAACATTTAACAATATCCAGAAACATTTTTAGTTGTCACAAGTTGGAGAGAGAGATTAATGATATCTAGTGAGTAGAGGCTATGTATACTGTTAAAACATCCTGAAACCACAGGACCATCTCAAAGAATCATCCAGCCCCAATGTAATATCGATGTTGAGGCCAGGTGTGTTGGCACACCCCTGTAATCCCCACTCAGGAGGCTGAGGCAGGAGGATCACTCCAAGTTCAAGGCCAGCCTGAACCATATAGTGAAATCCTGTCTCAAAAAGGGAAAAAAAAAAGTCAAGGTTGAGAAACCCTAAAATTGACCCTCCAACAAAAACATGTACCCATTGAACAAGAGTTACTGTATTGCTCATTCATTTTGGTTAAGACCCCTTTAAAGCAAGTAATCTAATAGGTGGGTAGCTTAATGATTTTTTTTTTTTAGGGTAATGTTTGCCATTTATTTATTTATTTATTTTTGCAGTGCAGGGGATTGAACTGAACCCTGCACTTGCCAGGCAGGCACTTATTCTACTGAGCTATCTCCCTGGCCTCTGTATTAATTTTAATTTTATATTGCTAGTTTACTACAGATCTTGATGTTAAGAGTCTAACTCCTGGGGAAAATGTGATTACACTGTTGGTATTTTGAAAAAAAGGATTGATGGTCAATAATGTGGTTGCAATGTTTCCCTTTTGCTCTCCTTTCATGAGCTGGCATCTAAATTTTTATTAGGAGCTTCATAAAGAAAGGGTAGAGGTGATTCATGGATGCAAAATCATAACAGTTTTATAATAATTTGATTAGGAAGAAATGATGTGGAACAAAAGCCAGTAGAAACTCACTTTTGCTGAGTACTTATGGGGAGTAAATACACTTAGAATTTGAGAAAGTAATCACTAAATATCTAGATGTACTAAGGGAATTGTACATCTTAACTGCTAATAGATGAACAAAGGCATAAATACCAGATGAGTAGCCAAGTCATGTTTTAATAACTGAATTCATTGTGTCACAGATTTGGATTTTATATTATACTATGAATTTTTCAACTTTAGACTAGAAACTTAAATTTAAATAATTTTTTTTCCCCTGAAGTCTCACACTATTTTGCTGGTGCAGCCTACTAAGAGGCCAGAAGGCAGAACTTACGCTGACTATGAATCTGTTAATGAATGCATGGAAGGTAAGTTTCACACCAGTCCAGGTATAGAAATCTTTTGAGTGTTTTGGGGTTTTTTCCTTGACATTTATAAAATGTGTTGTGCGTGTACTTATTAAATATGTCACCCAACTACTTGAGGGAGCTGTGGTAGAAGCACATAAGTTTGAGGCCAGCCAGGGCAACTTAGCAGACCCTGTCTTAAAAAGGAGAAAGGTCTGGAGATACAGCTTGGGTAGCATGCCTTTTGGGTCAGTCCCCGGTACCACACACACACACACACACACACACACACACACACAACCAGTCAATCCACCATCCCCCTAGGAGCTAGGTTTTTCTCCCCCCTTAGATTTCTAAAATTACTAATTTGAGAGGGAAACTAGGTCTTTAGGATAGGCTGTATTTCAGGGGTATTTGGTATATCATGCCATTTTTTCTGCTGCAAATATTTTACGATTTTGAATCAAGCTCATGTATATATTCAGTGACTTTTCACAGCTTCTTATTTTTTACATTATGCTTTGTTATATAAATAATTTATAGAACTCCTTTGTATATTCTGGTTAAACTCTAGCACTGTAGAGTCTAATGGTCCTTCTGTTAAATAAACAATCAGATTGAGATTTGGTAACACTGCATCAGAGTGCTGGAGTTTAACCAAAATAAAAGTCAGCTCAGAATAAAAGCTAATGGAACAAACCAACATTTATTGTGTAAGTTAGTTTTATTCTTACGCTTAATCTTTATATCAACCATTTGTACAGGCCTCACATAGCAAATTATTCATTCTTCACTTTTTTCTCTAAATTTTTGAGATAGGGTCTTTCTGTATAGTAAGTAGTTCAGGCAAGACTTGAACTCACTAGGATTATAGGCATGCACTGCCACACCTAGCCATTCTCTTCCACAGAGGTGATATAGTCACTTTGATTTTGCTGGTGGACATGTCCTTAAAACTGTTGATTATTCAAAACTAACTGGGTTAGATTTATAATCTGTCCAAGTAAAACCAACAGTAAGCTGTGAAAAAAAAAGCTGCTTGTAACAAGAGATATACCTTCTGGGCAGGTGATGTCATTCTATCCAGAATGCCATCAAAATCTGTTCTGATTTTTCTCCTTTCATTTTAAAGAAGAGCAGGGAACTTTCATGATCTCTTTTTCAAGTCCATTCCTCCACTGGTATATTTGTTTACACTTAAGGTGAACTGTATTCACTGCCTTGGTATAACATTACACTATGTAAATTGTCATGCTCCATCTTTGATTCTGGGATACCCTTTAGTAATGTTGTAGACTTTATAAAGCCCTTTTAAATTTTTCATATACTTTCACTATGCTTTTTAACTAATATGCTTTTAGGTATGTAAAAATGAAACAAAGTAGAGCCTTTAATAAAGTATGTTACATTAAGGTTTATTATTTTGTGTTGTATAGTTCTTTGAATTTTGCAAAATCTACAAGGTTGGATCCACCATTATTATATCATGTAAAATAGTTTTACTATCCTACAAATCCTGTGTCCCATCTTGTTCCTTCCTATCTCACCCTCCAAACTCTTGAGAGTCACCAGTCTCTTTACTGTCTTAATTCTGCATTTTCCAGATTGTCATATATAGTTGTTCCTCGGTCTTTGTGCGGCTTGTTCCAGGACCCCTTTGCAGATAACCAAAATCTGCAAATACTGGTCTGTTACATAAAATGATGTATTTACATATACTCTCCACTTTGCATACAAGATCTGTTGATTACTGTCTCAGTTACATTTTACTCATTGCCAGGATAAAATACCTGACTCACAAAATTAAGGAAGGAGAGGTTTATTTAATAAACTCACAGTTTGTGGAGGTTTCAGTCTATACTCAGCCGGCTCCCAAGTAGAGTGGCACATGGCAGAGAGCAGCAGTTCATGGCAACAGAAAACAGGGAAGGGCAATGGGAAGGGCACAAGACTTCTTCCTCCTTATATTAAAAACAAGCCACCCTGGGATTGGGGTTGTAGAACTCTCACAGTGTCCTCTTGCACCGGATGAGGATGTTTACAAACTAAGAATCCTGGCTCTCTGCTGAGTCACTTCATTAAAGTTCTCAAGTTGACACAATGTATCAGCCAGTACAGTTACTTATAATACTCCACCATGTGCGATGTAGTTGTGATACTTTATTGTTTTGGAAAACACAAAGGGCAGAGTTGAAATTTAGGTCTGTCTGAGTCTAAATCTTAGGAGCTTGGATACCATATTATAATAAGATCTTAACACTTACTGCTAGATTTTTTTTCCCCATTGTACCAAAATTTGAAGGCAAAATAGCAGAATATCCATTTCTAATCCATCATTCCAAAATTTGATATCTCCTTTATATATCCTATGGATTTAGGAAGATTTTTTGAACAGCGTGGTATTAAGAAACACATGCTTAAAAAAAAAAACCACATGCTATTGGTTTGGGTTGCTTGGGTCATTCCAAAGAATTTATAACTTTAACTGATAGCGGCAGTAATTAAAGGGTTTTTCAGCCCAATATTAGTGAAATAAGTGTCAACATATAATACCATTCTGCTGTAGTAGTTTTATGCAGTCCTAAATTCTTGTTTTGGTTTTCTTCCCTTTTAGGTGTTTGTAAGATGTATGAAGAACATCTGAAGAGAATGAACCCCAACAGTCCCTCTATCACATATGATATCAGTCAGTTGTTTGATTTTATTGACGATCTGGCAGACCTCAGTTGCCTTGTGTAAGTAGTAGCTACCATATCTCTTGTATTTTTCTGTTTGTTTGAGGTGATTTATAGTATTAAGGGTTAACTGTTTGATAGTAATCCTTTTTTTTTTGCATACTAGATGGTACTTAATATTTCATTTGCATATTAAATTGGCAACATGATGCCAGAGGTGAGGAATATCTTAAGAAACTTTGCTTCTTGATGCAGTAAATATGAATAGAGATGTTCCATATCCTGATTTGTTTTGTTGTTTGTTGAGACAGGGTCTCACTGTGCAGTTCAGGCTGGCCTTAAACTGTGTAACCAAAGCTGGTCTTAAACTCAGGGCAGTCTTCCTTCTTCACCCTCTTCAGTGCTGGGATTACATGCATGCACCGCCATGCCTAGCCATATCCTGATTCTTTGTTTCTTAAACATAATGGTTCTTTTCATAGTTCTTCCCTCTCACCCCCCTTTAGTCTTTGTCCTAAAGCATTTGGTTTTGGACCAGAACTAGTTGTACTCTTCAGGGCATTTTTGGAAAGTTTAAATATAAGTGGAATTGGAATTAATTGCAATCCTACTCTGTAAAGATATATATTTTGATTTATTAAGATGAGTTTTCTTGGGCTGGGGAGATCTCTGGTGTCTTCCCCCCCCCAAAAAAAAAAAAAAGATGAAGTTTTCTTGTCTGAGGGTATAGCTCAGCAGCACGACAACTGCCTGGCAAGCGTAAGGTCCTGAGGTTTGATACCTGGTACCAAAAAAATAAATAAATAAACATTTCTTTAGATTGTATGTTTTCTTAGACTTGTCAGATTGTTTCAGATCTTTAATAATGTTAACATTCATTTTGATAATCTGCTTACTACCACTATTATTGAGAAGCCTAAAATGTTGTGGACTTAATCTTCGTGCCATTTATGAATGAGAAAGTATAAACACAGCTCATTTCACAGAAAAATAGCACCTCAGGAACAAATGACGGTCCTAGGGCACTCAGTAACCTACTACAGGACTTCTCGGGCACTGTGCCAGCCCTTGAGGGTGCAGTGCTGAGAACACGCAGGTCCTGACAACCTGGGTCCTCCCACAACCCAGCTGGCTGCACATCACTGTCTCCTCAGAGGCTCCTGAGGAAGATGCATTTCCTTGGGAATTTTGGTTTGGGTTTTGTTGTGCTTAGTTGTGTTTCAGATAAGGTTGAAAAATCCAAGTATTCAGTTCTGATGTTCAATGATTTGCACTAATAAAGAAAAATGTATTAAAATTATTTAAATATAAATAAGCTCAAAATTGTGAAGCCAGTAGAGCTATGGGTGGTAGGCTTTATTAGTTTGTAATGTCTCTCTTTGTTCTGCTTATAGTCTGATATACATTATTTCTCATTGACAAATCTATATATTAATTTAGCGGATAGTTACTGAGCTCTCACCATATACCCAGTACAGTTATCTCTCAGTAGCCTGCAGGAGATTGGTCCAGGGGACCCAGCCTGCTGTAGATAATCAAACTCCAAAGGTGAAACAGTTTCTTATACAAGATGACATGTTTCCATGTAACCTACACACATGCCCCATATGTTATAAACCATCTCTAGATTACTAAATAACATCTAATACAATGTAAATGTTACCTAGCTATCTATTAAACTGTATTGCTAGCTGGCGAGATAGCTCAGTGATCTAAGTATCTGCCTGGCAAGTACAAGGACCTAGGTTTGATCTTCATTACTGTATGCCGAGTGTGGTGGCACATGCCTGTAATCCTAGCACTGGGGAGGCTGATAAAGATCACTGTGTGTGCAAGCTGCATAGTGAGACCCTGTATAATAATGCAGATGCAGCACCATCTGGTAGCCCTGCCAATGAGCACAAGGCCCTGGGAGCATCTCAATGATGTGCATATTATTTTCCAGGGCTGAAGAACAGGGAGCATTACTGATCATTGCTGTCTTTCCACTGTCTAGATTAGTGTCTTACATATGGCAGCAAGGAGTAAATACTGTGTTTGTAGTATCAGTGCCTGTCACCCATATAATGATTTAAGGCATAGTTTTTTTAAATATTGGTAATTTTTTTTTAAATTATATATATTGGTGATTTCCCATTTCCTTTGTTACCAAGCTGTATTTTGAACCAATAGGAAGGTCAAAACAAAAGTGAAACATTTTATAGTATTTTATATTAGAATTTCATGTTAGAAATCATTTGATGAGACTCTGAGGTCTGTATGGTCCAAGGTATATTATTGTTGGTAAATTTTCACACTTAGAAATTGACTAGATGTTTCAAGTGAGACTGAAGATTTTAATGGAGTTTAATTATAGACCCTCACTTCGTTCTTTAAATTGTTGATTTTAACAGTTAATGGTTGTTTTCATGCTTTTATAAAGCATTTCTTACCAAGACATCAAGTATCTATTGATGGTTTGAGCACTGGTTCGCATTCTCAGCACATGGAGAGCAACGTGATACTAAGAGCTAACTAGAGTTTACAAGTTAAACATGGTTGGGTTTGAATTGTGACTCAACCGTTTGGTGGCTTCTTTGGGCAAATTAGCTCAATATGATTAAACCTCAATATGGGTAAACCTTTTACAAATGAAACCTTTTATAAATTTCATTTGTAAAATTTAGATAAACCTACTTCACAAAACTACGTAGGAAAATAGGGGCTTGCTTAGCACATCAGTAACAAATATAAGTAGAGATTCCATTTTTTTTTTTAATATTTTTTTTTTTTTTTTTTTCCGGAACCGGAGATTGAACTCAGGCCCTTGTGTTTGCCAGGGAAGCACCTATTCCACTGAGCCATCTCCCCAGCCCATGGATTCCATTTTTGATGAAGTTAGGACAGTTTCATTTTTACTATACATACTCTTCTAGAATTTGCCACAAAACTATAGAACTATTTCAGGCTCTATAAAAATAAGATAAATTGTTCTGTTGACCATGAAAGAAGTACTTTGATTTTTCAGCAATGTAAAAATTGTACAAAGTAAAAAAGTAGTTGTAAGGGACATTAGGTACTACAGTGATACAATATAAGTGGTTTGTTAAATGCAAACCAGACAGCACATCCAGTATGCAAAGATCTTAGACTGTACATAATTCTTTCAATCCAAATGAGAGATTAATGATAATCTTGCTTTTAATTCTTCGTTTGAAAAGCTGTAAGTTACAGTTTAAGTTCCTGACTCTGTTTCAAACATTGAAAATTTTTTGTTCTCTGAAAACATTGAGAATTGAATTTAGATTTAGGACTTTTTCAGTGTGATTTTGGTTGTGTCTCACTTGTTATTCTAGAGAAATGGTACTCTTTCCAAGGAGGTCATCTGCTGTGGCACTTCCCGTGACCACCTCCTTGATATTTTGACAGTGCCAGCTGGACTGGGTGGTAGAGCATGTCCCAGTCACCACACTCAATCCCTGGCACCACAAAACAAAATTATTACACTATAAATCATTATAATAAGGAATTAAGTAAAGATTCTACATTGTAACACGACTAAACCAGAGGGTAGAGGATACAAATTATAAAATTTTATGCATAGAGCATTTGTGTGCCATATAATTAGAGTCAGTTTTGTTTGATTTCTGACCTGTAATTTTTTTTTTTTTTCCTTAAGATGAAAAGAATAGTGTTTATGGGCTGGTGAGATGGCTCAGTGGTCTAAAGCACCTACTTAGAACAAGCTTAGCAGAGCACAGGGACTGCGGTTCAATCCCCCAGCACCACATGCCAGCCAGCCCCGCCCCCTGGTGGGGGTGAGCTGGCCCCCCACACACACACATATAAATAAATAAAATTTAAAAAAAAATAGTGTTTATAATCTGAGGGCATTTTCATCTGTTAGTGTAATGAGGAAGCACCCTCTGTCAGGCAGACAACTTGGTGTCAGTGAAGAAGACCCTGGTGATTTCACTGCTCAGACCCACAGAATCTGGTGTTTAGGGAAGAGGGGGGTCACTGGGGATTGAACCCTAGGCTTGAACATGCAGGCCTCCTGCCTCAGCTTCCCCAGTGCAGGGATTACAGGCAGGTGCCACCATGGCTGGCTGCAGTCTGTCCTTACATGAGCCTACATTCGCTGCATAACAATAGGATGAAAAGTCATCTGTTCCGACAGTTAATGCCCTTTACATCTGTCTCGTTTTCAAGTACCTGTTAGGAGACATTAAGAAAGCTTTATTGCCATTTCATGAATTGGAAAACAGCATGCAAGTTAATGGATCCTTAAATGTTCCCAAGCCAGAGTACAGTTGTTTGGGGTGTGAAATGTTCTAAATAAGGCAGTTCCATCCAGGTATGCTAGTTCTGAGAAAGTTGGTTCCTTCTTTAGTTCTTTGTCAGTGTTAATGTAACTGTAATGTATTTTACTTCATGTTGAAGTAGACTAAAGTAGCATTTTATTTAATGAGGGATGACAAACAGGAATAGTCAAAATTATTCCAATTTTTAAAAAATAATTGCTCGTGGGCATTAACAAGAGTCAGATGTTTATAAAGTAAGAAAGTCTGTGCATTTTTAATAAACTAGCTTCCTCCCTTACATTCAGAGAAGAATGTTTATTACATAAAGCATTCCTACTTGGTTTGTTTGCTTGCTGAACTGTGGCTTAGAGTTTTCTAGCTGAGGGACAAGGCTGACTTCAGGTGTGTTTGCTACCTGTTCAGTCTCACCTCAATCTTCTTAGGTTTTTTTACTCCTTTAAGCCTTGTGTTGTTTATAAAAGAATAATAATTGTACCAACTCATAGATTTAGAAAAATGATAAAATGAATTAACTCAAATACCAAGTTCTTGACAGCAAGTTTAATAATTTACCATTTTCATTATCACTTCTGTAATTTTTGCTGAGAAATTAAAAATCGTCTGGCCCCACAGAGATAATAATTAATAAATCAGATATTTTATTTTTCCAGGCTACCTCCAAGGTGTCTTTTTGGGCAAGCTAACAGGGTCTTCAGCACCTATGAGCTCAGTTGCTGCACAGTGTTCCCACTAGGTGGTGCACTCAGTTTGGAAACACTGACTTGGCTTTGGATTTGTGTGGTCCCTGGTAGCTTGTCTGCTTTTTCATATAGTAGTTTTACTGAGGGTCTCAAGAAAGCAGGCACTACTAACCAGCCAGGTTTCAATTTCCAATCAGGTGGGAGGTTTTTCTATTTTTCAAATCCTGTAAAAGTTCCTTGTGATTGGCTGAAAACCTTTAGAGTCCAGTGTGAGCGTTGCTGCTCGTGCTGCTCTTGATATTTGGCCTTATCTTCTGAAGATGTTTGCTATATTTTCTAATAATTCTCCATAGGTTTCTATAAAAAATCCTAAAATTCAAGTTACACGTCTGTTCTTAATACTTTACAGGGGAAAATAGCAAAAACTTTGTGGCAGTAATACTTTCTTATAGACATTCAACATAAATGTAGCAAATTAAAACCAGGCAGTAGCACATATCTACCATCCTGGCACTTTTGAGGCAAGAGGATCACTTGCCTTGAGTTCAAGGACAGCCTAGACAACAGAGGGAGATTGTAAAAAAAAAAACAGGGCTGTCCAAATAGCTCAGTGGATTAAAGTACCTGCAAGCAGGCACAGGGGCCCAGCGTTTGATTCGGCAACCGAGACTGGGCGTGGTGGTGCACACCTGTAATCCCAGCTCTTCGGAGGCTGTAAACAGGTGGATCACTATGAGTCCAATCTAGTAGTGAGACCCTGAACACCCTGTAGACCTTTCCCTAAAATACAAGGAAAAAAAAAAAAAAACTTTGTACTAGTGTGTTTGTTTCTTGTTTTTTAATAAGTTGAAGCATAAAAATAGAAACTCCATGAGAGAAAGAACACATGGTTTCTGGTTGAATTCTGGAGAACTAGATAGGTAACATACTGCACGCTTAAGAGCTCTAGGCCTTGGTTTCTTTTTTTACTAGTAAGATTATGCTAAATGATTTAAAGTTCATATTGGTTAAAATTCAACAGCTTTTCCAGCTGTTCACTAAGTTCATTTAGGACAATCTGCACATCAGGGCCATCATTGGGCAGTCATAATTGGGGGTTTTAAACTCAGGACAGTAATTGGACCTCTCTGACTTTGACTTTTCTGTTCCTCAGTTACCGAGCTGATACCCAGACATACCAGCCTTATAACAAAGACTGGATCAAAGAGAAGATCTACGTGCTCCTTCGTCGGCAGGCACAACAGGCTGGCAAATAATGGAGTTGGAAACAGCAGGGGCTGGGGGCGGGGCTTGGAGCACAGGTGTGTGCAGTGCACTGCAGTGAAGCGCTGTCCTGTGAGCCTCTTTCCACTTGTTTCACTCTAGCCAGGATTGAATGCGTTAGATGAAATGTGAGGTGTGAGGATCTTTTCAATCCAAAACCCCCATTGAACCCTTTTTCTTTTTTTCTTTTTTTTTTTTTTTTTTACTTAAACATTTTTATGATTCAGAAGGCAGTTGTTCCTTGTCGATATTGGTTCCAGTCCTTCAGATTGTTCCTATCTGCTTTATAACATTCACAGTACTAATCTTTTAAGATGGGGTAGGGGATGATGACAAAGTTTAGTTATGTCCTCAAGAAAAAGTCTTAGTGAAAATAAATGTTCTTTAGTTATATTTTCTCAATGACTGATTTCTTTTGTCTCTGAACATTGAATTTTCTTTCAAAGCGTGATGTTTTCAAGCCAGCAGTACAATACTTGAAAGAATTCAAAGGTTTATATGTATGCTGAACACCTTGCTGTGGTCTGTGTGAAGCTTTGACCTCATTTAATCCCAGTTGGGGTTAATTGCAGTTGTAGCCCTTGAGATCTAATTATGTTGATGTACACATCATACAGACATGTGTGGATTTGTAGTATGACTTTGTCCTATAAATCCATCACTTGCTGCAGATATAATTCAGACCAGCTGCATTTCCAGAACCCAGGGATGGTACCGCTGAGCAGCGCAGGGTGGGCTGGGATTGCAATGCCTTGTGGTCCTGGCTGGCTGAGCTGTAGCTCCCGCCCAGAACCGAGGTAGACGATGACACTGCACCTCGATAGCCTGAGAAAAGACTTAAGTTTTCTGTCCCATATGCCTGTTGCTTACACGCTATCTTCCATCAGGCTCCATAAGAGGCTTTCTAGCAAAATAGCTAGTCTGAGGCGACAACCAAGGTAGCGCCTCAGTGGGTGCTCTGGGAGGTCATTGAGCCCTTTCAGTTTGCAGTGATGAGTACTAGCTACCTATTCCTCTCTCAAAGCTACTGTAAGGGTGAGAAAGTTCACGGAACACTACAAGATAATCTTGCTGTAAATATAGAGAATGAGGTTGTGCTGTGACTTGAACACGTGAGATTAAGCTCCCTGTCACTGGGTACACATGTACTCCCAGTTCAGCTTTTTCCACATCACCGTGGATACTACGCATCAAAAGATTGGCAGTGTTTTGAGAGGCTTATGTTTGTCGTCATACTACAGTCCTGCTCCAACTTCCACATTAAGCCATTAACTATTTTCTTTGTTATCTGTGCTTAACTTTTTAATAGAATAGCTAATGAAATGGTGTCACTATCAAAATTATTAATATTAGGGTACTAGCTGAGCAGGGGAGCTGCACACCTGTGATCCCACACTCAGGAAGCTGAGGCAGGAGGATTGCCAAGATTAAAGGTCAGCCTGAACTACATCAGACCCTGTCTCAAAAAAAAGTACCACATGCCATGCCACCATGCTGGCCACTGAAACCAGGCATGGTGGTGCATACCTGTAACAATGCTGCTGGGGAGGCTGAGACAGGAGGATTACTAGGAGTCCAAGCTGCGGAGCTTCGTAGCAAGACCCTGTACCAAATAATAAATCATTTTAAAAAAAAATAAAATAGTGTGTTTCACTGAGTCAGCTAAATTTTAAAGCAAAAATCACACACAAATGGATAGATGCAAAAGTAACAGTGATCTTGGCTGTTTTAAAGTTTCTAGCAAATCACCTGGGCTAACAGGAAATTTTTTAAGAATATAAAAACATCTGGGCCCTAAATATTGGATGATTGAAACAAAAAGGAAGAGAGCAATGTTTTAAGTGTGGGGCCAGGGAGATGACTCAGTAGAATAAGTGCTTGCCTGGCAAGCATAAGGGCCTGAGTTCAATCCCCAGTTCCACACACACACCAAAAAAATGTTTTAAGTGTGCAAGGATTAAATACAGAGAAATACACATTTCTTCTAAGAATGCAAGTATCCTTAGTGGCGAAACATCCAGTGTTTGACTAAGCTCTAACCTCTTATCTGTGTGCTATGAGATTTGAAAAATTGTTTGCCCTTGCCCAACTATAAATTAAGCATGTTTGACTTGGGGTTACTAAGTGAAACTGTTAATAGGGAGAACCTACCAGAAAATTTTATTTAATTCCTGATTGTGTAATCTGCCCTATTTTATATACCTGACAATTTCCTTTTAAAAATTGTTTTTATTACTGCATGTTAGTAGTACACATTTATCATGGGTATTTGGTACATGTACGTCCCTTTTTTTTGTTTTGTTTCGTTTCGTTTGGTTTTCTTTTAGACATCTTTGCTCCTTTCAACTCAATCCCTTTCCTTTTTTAAGAGACTGACTGGGTCTCACTATATAGTTTGGGCTGGCCTTTGAGCTCACTTTGTAGCCCAGCAACCTTCCTCAGCCTCCCAAGTGCCGAGATTTCAGACATTCACACCAATGCCCTGGCCCCTTTCACATTTGTAAAACTATTTCTGGAGAGTTTTGTTTGCTTGTTTATTTTTTGTTTTGTATTTTGAAACAGGATCTCACTTTAGAGTGCAAGTTGGCCTCTGAACTCAGCAATCCTCCTGCCTCAGCCTCCAGAGTGCTGGGGTTACAGGTGTGCGCCACCACACTTGGCTCTACTGATCTGTTCCCTACCCCCTTTCCTTCTTTTCCCCATTTGTGTCCCTTCCTCATGAAGATCTTCCTGCTTCCTATATCCTAGATCTTTCCTTTTTTTCCTTATAATTTTGTTTCTCATATAAAGGAAACAATGTATGTACCTGAGAATCTCTAAAATGGTTCCTGGTGATGACTCATCTGTCCTTTAGTGCTTGACCTAAGAGGCCACAGGAACATGAAAGGGTGGTTTAACTATTCATTTCCAGGTCTCTGGTTAAATAGATTCTCAGCAACTTATTAAATACCCAATTATGGCTCTCAGCCTGCTTGGGATAGGAGTGGTGGCAAGCTGTTTTACATCTTTTTTCTTTCGTGAGACAGGGTCTCCTTATGTAGGGCTGGTCTAGAACTCAGGGCAGTCTTCCTGCCTCAGCCTTTTGAGTGCTGGGCTCACACCACCACGCCCCACTGCTGTTAGACTTTTAGGAAGGCATGAGCGGATAGTTTTATACTGTCCTAAAGACCAAACTGCTGCCACACTTTTGCATCCAAATGCCCCCTCCTTTATCAGATTTTTACTTTTATGTTAATGTACTGATGAGAGTATTACCACAGACGTAGCACTTGCTGCTAAGGTAGTATTTCCCTTTAGGGTAGGAAAAGATTTTAATAACAAATAAGTTCAGACTGTGATTCACAACAAGTTTGTATAACACTACCACAGAGACTTCGCTAAATAGAGATGTTTTTAGTCTGGGGGGGGTGTGGGGAACCCCACAAAATGAACAGCAGTGAGCTACATAGTGGATATCTGATGTCTATCCCAAGAACCTTTATAGACTCCAGCAGATGTTTGGGTCACAAGACCTGGGCTCAACTGCCCCTTTTGCCTCAGAGTTCTGAGTAGCTCAGACTGCCACCACTGCCCAGCTGGGAGGTGGCATTTGATCTGTGCTTGATCTTAGCCAAAGGCCAAGAAACGATATTTGATCTGGATGTAGAAAGATAGCTCTGCTGATAGCAAGAAAGAAGGATAGTTGTAATAATGAGACAGTGGAGCTCCAGAAATGTGTGAGGAATGAATACCAAGTCACACCATCACAGAATAAAGGGGTATTGAAAAGAGATGGAATTAAAGGGCACAAAAGCTCCAGCTGCAGAGCCTTGAACAGCAAGCTGAGACTTAAGTTTAATTGTATAGGCTGTGGGTAGCCTTGAAAGATTTTTCAGGTATAACCTGTCAAATCTTTGCACTAGGAGGATTAAAACGTACTCTTTGTAGACTGGATTGGAAAGTCAGAAATATATCCCCGGAGCTAAGTCAAGAGAATTTTTCAGTGAGACAGGTAAGTTGAGAAATTACAAAACAGGTTTCAATTTGGATTTTAGGAGGCCTTTTCTACAGTGTTATATGAGGACAAATAGCAAATTTGCAGTTAATTGTAACCTAGCTATACAGGCAGAAAGAATTCAAATTCAAGGTCTGCCAGGGAACTCGGTAAGATCTTTGTCTGAAAATAATAAAAGCGCTGATAATATAACTCAGCACTAGAGTGCTTGCCTGGCCAGGTGTGGTGGCATGTCTGGAGTCTCAGTACTTGGGAGGCTGAGGCAGGAGGATCACCATGAGTTTGAGGCCACCCTGGACTACATAGTGAGTTCAAGGCCACCCTGAGCTACATAATGAGACAGTCTCAAAAAAGTAATACAGGGGCTGGGGAGTTAGCTCAGTAGAAGGTCCTGAATTCAATCCCCAGTACTGTAAAAAAAAAGTAATACAAATGGCAAAGTACAGTACAATCAGGCAGTGCAAACACTTAAAAGATGTATTTTGAACACTTAAAAGATGGTGGTAATATATGTATGGAACGGTAGGTTTTTTAAAAAGATGAGTTTTGATGTGTTTTTTTTTAAAGCCATTTACTCATGTTTTTAAGTAGAAGAGTCCAACCCCCCCCACCACGTTAATTAGATAACCAACAGTGAAAGATTATACTGCCATTTAAGAAGATACATTCTCAGGTGTTCTGGTATAATGAGTGAGCACAGAAGAGAAAGCAAGGTGGAATTTGATGGGGTTTTATCTTCCTGCAGCTGCATACTCCAGCTGGGTGGTAGGGATGGAACCCAGGCACTGCCACATCCTGGGAGAGTGCTGTGCCACTGAGTTGCAGCTCCAGTCCTTTCGAACAATTTTTTTTTTTTTATATAAAATCTTGCCAAGATACCTGAGTTGGATTTTAAGCTGGATTTGATTTAAATAAGTGAAATAGGTCACTATTTAGGGGAAAGCAGGGAATGCAGACACCAATCAAAGACCCCTCAGGATGACGGGAAAAGTTCAAAATGATGGGAGTGTAGGGAGGGTAACATTTCCAGTGAAACTAGCTAGCAGTGTGTAGCTTTCACAAAAAACATGCAACTGATGGAAGAGAGGAGGAAGCTAGGTATTGAATGCTTTTTTTGTTCAATAAAAGATAATCCAGATGGTGGCATATGCTGTACCACACATTGTACTGAATACCTTACATCACATCCTTCTTGCATGAGAATCAGTCTACAACTTAAACAGCTAAATTGAACAGTTAAGGGATTTAGAGATTTTTCAGATCCCAGACACAGACCACATAAGAATGAGCTCTTGGTGATGGAAATGGAGAGTCCTATGCTTTGGCCTATAACATTGCTCTGGGGAAGACAGAAGGCAGGAAATGCAAACAGCACAACTGTTGTGTAGGACTCGGGG